AAAGGGTTTGAATGGATTTATTATTATCCAAAAGTACCATTGGATAAAAAGCGTCGAATTGATGAATACAAAAGGGTAGGGGGAACTATAGTCTCCTCTTGCAGCCGTTAGGACGTTCGTTCCCAGGTCACTCCGGGAGTGACCTGGGAACGAACGTCCTAACGGCTGCGAGAGGAGACTAGGGGAACTATGGGTCAGTATCAAGTCTGAGCGTCACTTTGACTTATCAATTAAAAGAAACTATTAGATTCCTTAGAATAATGATTGATTTTTAGAATTTATTTCTTTGGTTTCTACGTAATTGAAAAACGTACTAAATGAATAGTGATGAGAGTTTGTCACCACTGTAAGATCAGAATTAGTGAGACATAAATATATTGTTTCAATATCACCTTATGGACTGCGTAATATTTATCAGGAGGGGGGTTGAGAAATGAAACAAAAAATCAAAAAGGTACTTACTACCTCCCATGTAAACGAAATAAATTACGCTCTCCCCCTCACACGTGAATTTATTTGTTCATTATTTGCGAATAAAGAGTTGTCGCAAATCGCAAATTCCATAAGCACAGAATTCGACAACGTTGATTTTTTAGTTTCCAATTAAAGTTCTAGTTAATTTTAGATACACATAAAATTAGATTTTGCCCCCCCCCCCTGGATTCTCAACCCCACCTTCTGATAAATGTTGCACAGTAAATCATATGACTTTGCATTTTTCCACCTAAGACTTACTAGCGCTTGAACAAGACCAACGGAGGAATCGGCAGTTACATAAGGAATGCGTGGTATGGATAAAACAAAGTATAGTTGAATTACAGCTTAAATCAAGAGAGAGTGTGTTTTAAACGGCTTCAAAAACGTCAACACTAGCTAATTTGAAACTCAATCAGTTAAAATTCTTGGATAAATTCCCGAAAAAAATGAGTTTTGAGATAAATGTGGCAGACTGATCATGCGTGAATCACTTTAGAAAGCACTCTTATCATCCCGCATTGAATACACATAAAGTAAAATAGAAACGCTGTTAATTGGCTGTTTACTACCATCAACAAACGCATTTATCATTAGTCGGGCTAGCCGTATGCTAGGCAAAATTTCCAAATTTATACTTTATGCATCGTGAAACAATCGGTGTAAATACATACCCCTAACGTTGTGATGCGTGTCTTCTTATGTCCTACTTTTAATAATTCTTAGTACATGATAATTTTGAGTCGAAAAAAAAAAAAAATAAATAAATAAAACATTGAAAGGAACAAATAAAAAATAAAATTTAGTAAATTTCCAAATTAAAACTTTATGCATCGTGTAAATACATACCGCTAATGTAGTGATGCATGCCATCTTAAAAGGGTTTGAATGGATTTATTATTATCCAAAAGTACCATTGGATAAAAAGCGTCGAATTGATGAATACAAAAGGAAAGGGGGAACTATGGGTCAGTGATCAAGTCTGAGCGTCGCTTTGACTTATCAATTAAAAGAAACTATTAGATTCCTTAGAATAATGATTGATATTATTTCGGTCTTTAGTGCATTTCCCTTGAATTGAAATTACGATTGTTCCGACGATTTTTCACAACAAAAATCGACTGCCTGACGTTTAGTTCTGGGACTATTCTAAATATCAGGCAGTCGAAAAATCTCAAAATGCCGTGCTTGTGTTTGAAACTTGTCGAACACTATTATTTCGGTCTTAACTGCATTTCCCTTGTTGCATTAATTGAAATTACTATTGTTCCAACGATTTTATAAGAAAAAATTAGACTGCCTGACGTTTAGTTCTGGGGCTTTTAATAGGCTATTTATGCCATTCAAGGTGTAGTTCTTCTCGTTGGTCAAATTGTCTGCAAAGAATGCATGAAAATAACTATTTTTTCTCAGCCTAGTAAGAGCAGAAATTTTATTTCTATAGAGTTTATATTGTGCGAAATTCCCTTATTGAAAAAGAGAATTGTTCACTTTGATAGATTTTTTGAGACCACAGGTTATCCATGGCTAAGAAAACTGCTTAAGCTTCCGTTTTGAGAGGGGTTTCAAAGGAGCGTGTTTCTCGACAAGACCAGACAGTGTGTTATAGAAATTAGTAAAAGTATTGTCGACAACGAACTGGTCATCAAAATTGTCTTGGTTTAGAGTTCGGAGTTAAACCTATATTAACGGACGCGTTGATAGACGAAGAAAAAATTGTAAAAAATAGCCCTTGTGGGGTAATTTTCTACATTTAACTTTTGAATTTGACGTTGCTTTTGCAGAAATGGCCAATTTGCCAATTTTACACGAAGTATCAACATCATTTATGTCGCTTGCCGATGCTATTACTGGCCACCCTGAAAGAGCACGCGAAAGATGGGTCGAATACGCGGAGCAAAGCGTACTTGGCTCTGGCATTTATGCAGCTGTCGAAGCATCTYGTGGAAACCTAGAGAGGGCCGAGGAATTGGGGAAAGGAATGGGAAGAGCTACGGGATCTGCTTTGCTTGGTGGTGGGCTCCTAAGAAATGTTCCCGGCTTTCAAGAGCTAGCAACTGCAGGTGATGCATTAGGGGATGTTATTGGAGGTGGCGATACTGTAGCAGCTGCAAAGAGATGGGATGAYTATGCAGAAAATAGCGTGATTGGAACAGGAGTCTATGCAGCAGTCGAAGCTGGCAAAGGAAATATGGAAAGAGCAAGAGAATTGGGAGAGAATATGGGTAAAGCAGCCCTTAGTGGCGCAGTCACCGTTGCAGCAGTTGGTGCAAGCGTAGCAACAGGAGGCCTTGCAGCTCCCTTTGGTGCTGCAGCATCGGCAAGCGTTGGGGCTGTTGTGGGAGCAGCTACAGGCGCCGGAGTAACTGCGGCAGAACAGGCAATTAAGGGTGAAGAAATAAGAGGTGGGGATGTGCTAGGTTCTGCCTTAATGGGTGGCGTAGGTGGGGCTGTTGGGGGTGCCATGAAAGGCAGGGCTGCAGCCAAAACGAGACCTAGTACAGCCAGCACGAGACCTAGTACAGCCAGCATGAGACC